TTTCTACACGTACTTAAGAAACACCCTGCATACATTCTTTTTGGTATGTAGATTTTGTTATTGGGTACTACTTCGTCTACTAATAATTGTCTAATTTGTGCATCATTGCGCCATCTATCCACCAGCCGATTAACTGCAAGACCATCATTGTATAGGAATCTATCAGAGGTTTAAAAAGTTTGTTGTTGTGTTGGTGGTATACTCTACAGGAATGAATCATCATTATTTTGATGAATAGTTTTTTGCGCCATTCCACCAACAGTTTGATTGTGGTATCCTGAGTTATTTCTATGACCTATGGTTTCCAACACGGCCAGAATCCCATACAATTTACACTGAGATAGTTGTATGACGGCAGTCTAGTTTGGTAATATTATAAACTACTTCAGATGATTATTAAATTTGAATTAATAGAAGAGAAAAGGTCTGTACAAAACGGACACCATTTTATTGTGGCTTTTAGAGGAGGTTTACCAATGCACTTTTTATGGTTTTTAGAATGGCCATACTTTTTTCTCAGTGTAGTTTTTCACTTTTTTGGTTGGGTAAATGATTTTCTGAATATTTGCAAGCAGAAAGGGTACACTTGTAAAATATCACTGAAGTGGTCTGTTTTCGAGATATTTCAACTATATTTCAACATTATAATACAAACTTGTATGGGCGTGTCATGGAAGCTGACACATCACAAGAATTTGTTTTATATCTGACTCTCACAGAGGGCACTAGTTACACGGTTCGCACCGAGTATTTTTGAACATAACTTTTTGAGGTTAAATTTTTCAATGTGGATACCTAACATCATTGAATTCAACATCAATCAATCAAAAATCATTTTTTCAACACTTTGTATCTTGAAAACGGAATAAACGGATGCCGTTATGACATGTTTTTGCTTGGCAAACCCAACTTTTTTGCAGTGTTCTAACTACCCTAGAAAGGAGGTCAGGTTTTTTTAAACACCCTGTATACCTACCAACTCTTTTCAGAAATACTTCAACCATTTGATTAGTCATTGCAATAAAATGCAGTTTTCAATATAAACAACTGATTTTTTTGGGAATCATCAATTAATTAATTAATTAATCAAATTAATCCTACCCCCAAATAACCATCTCAGGTATAAATGTTTGTTATTGTCATGTAGTTTTCAAACCTATAGGTGAATATAGGTAGGTTAGTAGTTGGTACTTGTTTGGTACTATAGTATAGGAGCTAGGACTAGTCAAGGGTACTAGTAAGGTACTAGGTAGGAGGTTAGTAGGTTAGATACCTACTTGCTAAATCCTCTAGCATTCTTATCTTTCAATTTTCAATCTAGTTGCAGAAGAATTTTGAAGAATACATTATTGAACACAGAATAAATACACTCAGTGATATATCTGTGGGATATCCCTCTTTAACTATCATGCAACAAGTAAATAAAGTGAACTGATGAGTTTATAGATTCAACTAAACTAAGAATTAAAGTATAACAACTATAAACTTAAAAAGTTCAATTCAAGGAAACATCTATGATGGTTTATACATTAGCATCTGTCAATTAAATTAAGAATTATGAATTAAGAAGTTGCCTAAAACTTTCAACTTGACAACACATTGAAATTTTTTTATGGATTCATGAATTGTGGAGACCAAAATCACTTTTCAACAATCAATATACCATTTCACATGTAATTCTTAATTAATACCAAATATGTATAAGCACCCTCATGATTATTAATTGATGATTGTTAATTGTTAATTCCTAATTGTTAGTTTAATTGAATCTATATAAACCCAGCATTAAGTAGGTAGGTATAATTATAGGTACTTACCTATTTATTTATGATGGAGATGAACACTTCTGCTATATTTCTTCTAGGGCCTTATCTGTTTGCAATCTGTTGAATGAATGAAAATGTTAAATTATGATGGATTCAAACAACCAACTGATGAGAAGGCAGAATATAGCAACGAAAACATAAACATTTCTATAATTAGTGGAGTTACCTTATTTATATTTGAATTCACGAACAACGAATCACTCACTACAATTCCTACATTCCTTCAAAAATTATAGATCATAAGATGCAGAATTTGAGCAATGAGCAATCAGCAAAGATTTGAGAAGTACCGGTATCATCACAGAACAGAAAATAAAATCATGTTGCTGAAATGCACCAACTGCACAGAACATAAAATATGAAACATAAAAAACATTCAGTACAGAAAATAAAAATACCCGAGCCGGCAAGGCGTTCACATTACACAATTTAACGAAAAAAATCTGAAAATGAACTGATAATACTGAAATTATTTGAAAATTCATATTCTTATGGTTCTGAGATATCTGTCATCAATGTCACCTTACACATGTCAATTGTCTCTTTTAGTTGCATTTCTTCAATTCTTCTGACTTGTGTCTTGTGTGTCACGTCACACTTCACGGTGTTTTTCCGTTTCCTAAAAATCCTCTCATTTGAGTCCTTCTGCTTAATTTTAGTGAATTTTTCGTTTGCTTGTTTTGTTTTCTAGAATCAAGTTGGCCTTGTATAAACGTGATTATTGGAACGACAGAGAAAAGATAAATTTCAAAGAGTTGTGAAAATAAATTGAGAGAATAAAGTGACAGATGAAATTATGTATGATTTGGCCATTTGAAATATTTGAATTGCTGCAAATAACGGAAAATGAGACGTGCTGTTGGTAAGTTTATATTTTGAATATTAAAATGCCATCATACACGTTAAACAGTTGAGTTTGCATTGCATGTTGCACTGCCACTGATGAAACCACCTGAAACTATTATATATTCTTATGATTCTATCATATGCGAGTGATATTTTCCATGTCCCTGTACTGTAAACCAAGGGCAAAGAATAGTAGGTTCCTCTTTGCCAAGGGCACACAATCACACATTCAATACCTAGTTCAATACTGAAAGATCAATACCTACCTACTACCACAGTTCTACTACCCGAAATTCCAGAAATGAAGCATCGAAAAAAATACACATCTACTGGTGGGGCCAATTAATAGTGAGTCGCTATTTCAATGATGTTTTTTGTTTTAAATATTCTGTAAACTTGTTTTTTGTTTTCGCACGGATTGTTTGTTATGCCATGATAAGTGCCCGGTCTCTTTGGCGTAAACTAAGGTAAGCGTAAACAAAAACAATAAACCCACGTGACTATCAGTGGCGTAGGTTGCGCTTACGGGCCCTGTAAAAAAAAGTTTCGGCGAAGCCCAAATGGCTGGTAAAAATTTTTCACAAGGGAAACGAAAACATGAATAAAATGAATAAACAGAGTGAGTCAACATTGAACCGCCAATCTGTCTCATTTTTCAAGTAGAATTGAGAATTATTTTTTTTTATAAACATAGTATCCTAAAACTTGCTTCGATTTCGAGGTACAGGGAGAACAAAATGTTTTATTAATTAGGTACTCAAAATCCTTTCCGCTGATGGGTATTGATAAAATTTGTCATGCACATCTGTAGTAATAATGTTGTTCATATCATGATATGATTGGAATTCAATTATCAACTTCAGTGGCGTCCCAGAAGGCAATCAAATTACTATTTATGTTGAAAATATTGTTCGCCCTCGTGTTCGCCACTGTTTTTAACATGTTAAGATCGTATTTCGGATTGAGCTGTAGAAATGCAACTTTTTTCTCTCGATTATTTCTTTGTATCTTGAACACATTTTTATAGACATTTTCATGAATATTGAGGTTCTAGATATTTTCAAGTTGTTCTTCTCGAAAACGAAGCAAGATACTAAAAAAGTTCAAATGACAAATTATGTGATATCTCAGTTATATCTCGAGATAGAACCTTGCGGCTTTCGCGGTCCTGTGCCACTTTTTTGTGAAAATCAAGATGGTCTTATCAGATTTGGCATAACTGTTTCCGTTTATGAGATACAGGGCGATTTTAAAAATTTAAACTTGTTGGACCCTCTCTATATCTACGAAGTTTCTTAGCGACAATGTGGAATTAAAATCTCATCCCATAGAGAATTTTACGTAAAATCCAGTGGCGCACTCAAATTTATTTTTCGGGGTATGGTTTAGGAGATACGACTAAAAAGTTATGATTTTTCAAATGTAACACCCTGTATTAATGAAATATAATCTATGAATATGAAATTTTCAAAAATGCTCCAGAATCATTAAACCATTGAATATTGATAGTGGGCTATGGATAAGTTCCAATTTCGAGATACAGGGTATTAATATTTCCATGGAAAATCGTGTTGTTACTATTAATATGGAGCTTCTTCTGGTGCAATTAAATTCGAAATAATATTTCCAGTGGCGTTACAGTGGGTAAATTTATCGATATTTATCGTGAATCTCATTGTACGCCACCGCTTTTATATTTTTATTAAATTGAATTATTGAAATAACAACTTTTTTATAATTTTTGTATCTAGCTTTATTTTTGAGGAGACAATAAAAATTCGATTTGACTCAAAATTTTAATGTAGGCGTGTTTTCAAGACTTCCATTGATATTACTCAATAACCCCAATGGGCGTGTACACCTCAGTAGAACTTTTAACTCAAACCATGTTTATAATGATCCTTTTATACATAAATAATGGTTGACGACATAATTCGATCAAAAAATTAACTGAAATGTTTTATTTTTGGACATAAATATTAGTACCTTCTGAAAACGGACCCTCTTATGACGTAGAAACCTCATCTCGCCATAGTTAAAAGAAAATACCAAACGCCCGACGGAGACTGAGGCAAATGATATATTAATTCTTTCAACTGTGATCTCGCGCTAATTCACTCTGTCAGAAATCATATATCATTCATCTCTGTCTGGAATAGTCTTGTTTCAGTATTAGGGTTTTGACGTCACATCATCGCCTCGTTTTCAGAGGTCCGAAAAATCGGGGATTTCAATAATTTTTTATAAAACGTAGGGAGCTCACAGCAAGAAACGGTTTGCGGTGGTGAGCTAGTTTAGGGCTTTTGTGTTGAAAATAGAACTCAGTTTTTAGTCATAATTTTTAATCTCATCGATTTAAGAATTTCACTTTTATACATCAATATAAATAAGTACATAATTTATTAAACTAATAATACCTAAATTATAAATACTAGTTTATAAATTAATTTAAAAAAGATCCAAGCTAATCTTTCCTTGGAATGCTTAAGAAAATTTGACTAGAATCAGATTTGGAAGGGACGAATTCCGCTAATCGCCGATTATTTCGATGGTTTCTGAAACAACAAAAAAACATCTATGAGAAACAAATAACAATTTGAAACAAGTATTTCTTCTTGATTTCATTATACTGTATCGAAAATTACAACAGTGAAAAAGCAATCCGAAACAAACTACCAAAATCAAACGGTAGCATTGAAATTTGAAATTAATACAAATAATTCAAACTAAATACATATAATGAAAACGGTAAAATGTGAAGAAAAATCATAGTGAAAATGAATTACCCTTTTCAAATTCAAAAGTTGAATAGCAAAGTTGTAGGTAATGAAGAGACCTACAACTTTGTGATCACACCTTCTTCACATAACCTCAAAATTTATCTGAAAAATTCAAATAATCAAGTTTTTGGTTTTTTATTTTTCTTATGCAAGATGGCTCTGTGACTATATCGTACTGAAGTATAAGGTGGGAATATACAAATTTTTATTTGGCCTATTAAAAATCTGAAAAAATTCACATAGACTAATTCGATGTCGTATTGAACGAATCTGTGGTGGAAATTGGGAAATTTTGGGAAATGGAGACGTAGTACCCTATACCTGCTCCTATTGGCAATAAAAGCGGAAAGATGTCTTTGAGCGCCGATATCTCGAAAACTATCCGTCCTATCGGGCTGATCATGGTCTCATTCGATTCAGCGTGTCATTTTCTACTGAAAAAGCGATAATTCGAGAGAATTTCTGCCGTTTTCTGGCACTTTCGGCCGTCCGAAGATGGCTCAGTGACTATATCGTACTGAAATTTCAGGTGGGAAAATGAAAATTTTCATTTGGCTTATTGAAAATGTGAAAAAATTCACATAGACTAATTCGATGTCGTATTGAACGAATCTGTGGTGGAAATTGGGAAATTTTGGGAAATGGAGACGTAGTAGCCTACCGGAGTGCTCCTATTGGCAATGAAAGCGGAAAGATGACTTTGAGCGCCGATATCTCAAAAACTATGTGTCGTATTAAACTATTTTTTCTTCTGTTGAAGTTGTCGATGATTTCAACGCAATAAGAATCCATTTTCTAGGATGTGTTCCATCGTATAGAGTGGTACAATACGTTGAATGTGACTTGCATAATTTCAAAATCGGAAATGACGCGATAAACACCTAAAAATGAATAATCATCGATTTTCAACATCTTGTATGAGGAATATGGAAAATTACAAAACCGTTTCGAGATATTGGCTTGAACATTCGGAAAAAAAGTCTAATAGAGAAATAAAAAAAAATCCCTGGAATACGGAACCGTTTGAATTTTTTCATTTTTGTAATATTTTTTTCGAACACTTGGTGTGTAATGACAGAAAAACTCCCGACGAATTTCGAACAAGGAATCTTGAACAGAAAGATCGCATCTTCCAAACACTGCATTCCGATTGGAAATCCATTCATTTTTCAAAAAGTTATGACAGTTTGAAAATTGTCGAAAATTTCAGTGGTCCACTTGTTATTTTCGAGCACTTTATTTACCTCCATCGGATATAAAAACGTCTCCACGGAATCTACTCCGACGGAATTTTCCAGCGAACACGTGTAAGGTCCATGATCTGACCAAGCGATGGACCTTATTCTGAGTTCACCCTCCTGCGATATGGAGTATCTCTCGTCGTTCTCAATTACCGTGCCGTTGGGGTCGCTCCAAATCACATACGGCTTGGGGTTGCCCACGAATTTGCACGGAAGCAGTACGTCATTTCCTGAAATGAAAAAAAAAAATCGTAAAAATCAAAATATCTCTGGAAGGGATACCTTGTAAGGATTACCGACAATTGGACGTGGTCAATTGGACGCACGAAAATTGGACGCGGCGACAATTGGACGCGACGAAAATTGGACGCGGCGACAATTGAGCGCATGCGAAAATAAAAATAATTTTATAATTCCAATGAAATTTATTGCATGGAATATGCAGGGCTCATATCTATAATATAACAAATACCTAACCTTACCTAACCTGTCAGGTATTTGTTATAATTATGGATATAAGCCCATCAGTATTTCATATTTTATACAATGAATTTCATTGGAATTATAAAATTATTTTTATTTACGCATGCGTCCAATTGTCGCCGCGTCGAATTGTCGCCGCGTCGAATTGTCGCCGCGTCGAATTGTCGCCGCGTCGAATTGTCGCCGCGTCGAATTGTCGCCGCGTCTAATTGACGCCGCGTCTAATTGTCGCCGCGTCCAATTGTCGCCGCGTCCAATTGTCGCCGAGTCCAATTGTCGCCGCGTCCAATTGACTGCGACCAATAGTCGTGCGTCCAATTTTCCACGTCCAATTGACGCAACACCCCTTGTAGCGATTACTTTTTTGAGAACCAAGGGAAATAAAGTAGGAATTGGTGTTCTTTTTAAAGGACCCCGCACGAAAACACGGTAAATTGGCTCTCGGTCGAATTGGCTGAAATTTTACTATATTGTTGTGAGATGGCTCATTAGAAAAATATGTGAGTTTGAAAAGTTTTGTATGTTTAGTTTCTAAGATATAAGCCGACAAAGTTCGTAAAAACGTCGTATCGGGGTAGGATTGACAAAGAAAAAAACTGTTTTTTTAGTATAAATGAGACAAAATAATCTAGTAAATGTATTGATCGGAACTCAAATACATGTCTAGTTATAATCACATAAACTATAGTAAATCAGGGTGTATACGAGGCACGGTCAAAAAATTCATTTTTCTGAAAAAAAATTCGAGTACTATTCCAAAACCAACAAGTTATATTGTGGTGGGATATAATATTTTCAGTCTATTGTAGGCTTCGAAAACGTATTTTGATTCTTGATAACTATCTCTGTTCGAAATATGAATTTTTAGAATTCTGTGTTACACCCCTTTTTGAAATCAATTGACAGCTTGTTTTTGATCACAAAGAAAGGGATTGATTGATACTGTTGATTGAATGAAAGCTGAGTTAACTCACTAGCGAATTCAGTTGTTCAATATTGCCTTTCATTCAGATACAGGATGTGTTAGATTTTGTTGAAGATTATTTAACATAGGTAAGTATAACTTTATATACTCATGATGTACTTCGATGGCACATTTTTATATCGAAAATTCAACAGGAAATGTGATTTTTATGGCGAGTTTTTCATATTTAGTGAACAAGCATTCCAGACGACCATTTAATCAATAGTCAATCAAAATACGAGATGTCAAATGTCAATAGATTGCTTTCGAATGACATTATACACGCCATTATTTTGAATGATATTCTTCCTTCCTTTCACTGAATATGGATTATCTCAAGAAAATCATATTTATAGTTGAATTATATATAAATTGTCCAATATGATGAAAAAAGAAGGGAAATTTGTTCTAAATGCCATCCAGAAGACAGGTGAAAAAGAATGTGAAATTTGGAACTTTTTAGTCAAATATCTTCATGATAAATATCATGATAAATAATGCAGTTTTACCTTTTTAAGTAGAGTGTTTGTAGTTCATGTTAATATGATAGTTGCAATTTGATCATTGGAATGAATTCTGCATTCATTGCCACGAGGCAAATGACCGTTTTCAGAAAGGAATTTGAGAATGAGAATTAAAAATGCCCGTTTATTATGAACATTCAAGAAAATTTCCTCGAATTCAGAGATGATTTTGTTGACTATAATATACGAATACAAAACTGCACAATCAAAGCTTTTCTATTTTTCCTCTACTTATACTTTTTATGAGAGAGTAATTGTCTTCTATTATTAATTCATCATTATAAATTAAGCTCTGTTTACTACTAAACTTAGATGGAGTAAAATCCTCGCGGTGAATTGCATATACCCACATTTTCGATAGCTCCTCGTCCAACGGGAAACTAAAAGCATGAACTTTTGAACCACCCACATAATTCCCCCGACAAAAGAGAACACAACACTTGAAAGGCATTGTTATTTCGCCGATCACAACACAAAATATTTCACAAAACAGTAATTTTTCCGCCAATTATTTTGATGAATAAACAACAAAAGAATTCGGGACCGTTTCAAAAACATACGTGAATCACCGATGAATTAACACGAACTGACGCGTTAGTCGACAAGCGATAAAATAAAACACTGGCCTCTCTCGGTCACGTCACGACAGTTCAATCGAATCGAATTGAGGATTCTCACTCACCGATGACGTCCAGGTACGTCGACGCCCATAACGTTACTCTCGGCAGATGGTGCGCCCCCAAGATCTTCGCGGTCAGCAGCTGCGTGAGGTTCATCTCGCGTCCCTCCTTGTTGGCCACCACCACCTTGGAGGCGGCGGTGGCTACTCTGGCGCCCCCTTGCGCCACGCATCGGTACACGTCCTGGTGGCGCGGCAACAGGTGGTTGATGACGAGCCGCGACTGTACGGTGGCGATGGCGGTGCCTGGCGGAACCGTGTACGGCTCGAAACTTTCGTTCTGCAAAGAATATCGAGGGTGAAACGGTATCGATTACACTGAGAGAAAACTTGAGTTAGCATAATTGGAAATTTGATAACCGTTATTACGATATCTGCAATAAATTGAGGATAGATGTGTTCATTTGTCGGAACTTTCTAGGAACATTTTCATTGTTGTTTAGAAGCGGCATTCCCCAAATTTTCAAAACCAAAAAGTCGCCAAAATCGTTGTGAGAATAAAATTGTTCTATCTGTCCCGCTTAGAGAAAAAATCAATGACCTGAAACATCTAAATCATCTGAAGAAGTTGAATATTCTTGAAAACGGTAATACCACTTATAAACTAGCCAAGAAAACGATTGAAAATGAAATACGACAAGTAAAAGTTGTTTATTTCATGAAAAAAATCCATGAGTCAAATAACAAAAATAAAACACTGTGGAATATACACACACTGGCACAATTAGGGGAACGGGCAAAATTTACACTAAATTTGACATGTGATGGAAAGTCTCATCGTTTGAAGGTAATTATTTCTCAGATGTATTCGTGAAGAATGAAGCTACATTTCGTGAAAAACAAATTTGAATCGAGTGATCGGTTCGAGAGAAAATTGATGTCAAACTTAGTGTTAATTTTACCCGTTCCCCTGACAAACATAATTCTAAATCATTAACTGAAAACTATCACTGAAGAAACAGAAGTTGCCGAAACTTTTGGAGAATACTTTTCAACCATAGTAGAGAAAAAGCTGAATATGCATTTTGCTGAAAATGACAATGACATGGTTTCGAATGTAAGTACCACCATATTTATGTTGTCAACATTTCTCCCTCGTTCGTTTCTGATTTGCCTGGCTGGTATTGGAGCCCTGGAAGAGAAGACGGTATGGAGGGTACTGTCATCCGCGAAGCTGTGTACTGGACATGAAGTTGCTTCCAACAAATCGTTGATATGGAGTAGAAATAGTGATGGGACTAGAATTGATCCTTGCGGAACACCAGCATTTATGATAAGACACTAAGAAAACTAGCTACCAGAGAACATAGCTGGCGAGGCAAGCCATAAGATGGAAGCTTGGCGAGAAGTCCGTGGTGCCAGACTCGATCGAAAGCCTTGGAGATATCAAGTGCCACGGCTGAGGTTTCACCATATTGTTCAATAGATAGCTGCCATATATGTGAGACGTGAGCGAGCAGGTCACCAGTTGATCTCTGATGACGGAAGCCATATTGCCTATCGTTGATAATACCTGAATGTTCCAGGTCTTCGAGTCCCAGTCAACACCACGAATAGATCCCCTCAAAATCCTCAAATGTTTTGAGAAATTGAAGCTTGAGGGGCTGTTATGACCAAAAAAACCTTGATATACCAGAAGTAGATGGAGCACAATAGATCTAATCATGTCATTGACTTTGACGTGACATTGACTTTGCTTACCTCCGTGATCTTCCGGTTCCTCTTGTACCATTCTATCGTGCTTCCAACAAATCGTTGATATGGAGTAGAAATAGTGTTGGGGCTAGAATTCATCCTTGCGGAACACCAGCATTTATGATAAGAGAGTCAGATGAAACTCAGTCGACCACTTCATAAAGATACCTGTTTGAGAGAAAACTAGCTAGCAGAGAACGCAGCTGGCGAGGCAAGCCATAAGATGGAAGCTTGGCGAGAAGTCCGTGGTGCCAGACTCGATCGAATGCCTTGGAGATATCAAGTGCGACGACTAAGCTTTCACCATATTTTTCAATAGATTGCTGCCATCTATGTGAGACGTAAGCGAGCAGCTCACCAGTTGATCTCTGATGACGGAAGCCATATTGCCTATCGTTGATAATACCTGAATGTTCCAGGTATTCAGGTCCCAGTAAATACCACGAACAGATTCTCCTCAAAATCCTCAAATGTTTCAAGAAATTGAAGCTTGTGGGGCTGTTATGACCAAAAAAACCTTGATATACCAGAAGTAGATGAAGCACAATAGATCTAGTCAGGTTATTGACTTTGATTTGACATTGACTTTGCTTACCTCCGTGATCTTCCGGTTCCTCTTGTACCATTCTATCGTGGGAGGCGGGGAGCCCATGGCCTCGCAGTGCAGCTCCAAGTGGGCTCCCACTTTCTTGGTGACGACGTGACTGGGAGCCTGTGTGATCTTCAACCATGAGTTGTAGGCGATGTTGACGGTCGGGTCACCGCTCACTTCGTTATCGATGTCGTCGATCAGTCTTATGCATTGGAACTGGTCCAAGGTGGTGATGGTGATGAGTAATACTGATAGGAACATCTGGAAGAGAAAGAGGGATGATTTAGAAACCGCAAAGTGGAGTGATTTGTTGAATTGAAGCCAGCAGGTACCGTCTGGGGTCCCTTAATGTAAATTGACGTCGAAGCCCTGAGGGGGCAGAAGGACGATCTAGCCTTCATAGCCATCTAGTGGCTTAAGTGCAAGGTGTATAGGTAGATTCATCAATCATACCTTGCGACTAAGTCTATATGCTTACAGAAAATACATCCATGTCAGATTCTGTAGACTAGGTATCGCAACACCTGTAATTCTCAAAGTGGTTTAATGTTCCACTAACAGATGGTGATAAACCTAGAATCTCAAGACTAAGAGATTCTAGGGATATTTCGTTAATCGATTGTCAGCTGATGCAAGACAGACTGTTTCGACTTACCATAAGTAAGTTATCGTAAATTGACGTATTTGTCATCTTTGACAAATACGTCAGTTTGCATCAAGGGACCCTAGTACCGTCTAACCACCTGCATAATCTATGGAATGTTTCTGTGATGAATTAGTTGTTTCTCCCCACTTCTTCACTATCATGACCTTCCATCAGGATGAGAAAAAAGCATTCTGTCTATTATGTTGCTCCAGTAGTTCTTTCAGAATGGATTTCTAGGAAAATGTTGCGTTTCAATAGAACAAACGATTGCTCTCGGTACTGACGTCACAATATGCGTAAGAATGTCAACGGATTCATTAGACAAGCTGAGATGTTTATAATTCTTCTGGTGTGTCCACTTTTTTTTCAATTGTTTCGTCAGACTAGCTCTCGATATGAACGATTGAATGTGATTTCGTAACGTGGGGTTCTTATATTCGATTATAGATGGCGTGAGCGATGGACAATTTCTTGAAACATTTAAAAATGCGCTTTGAATCTCATTATGAAGTTGAACTAGACTTTCAATGATGGTTTTCCTTCGCAATATCAAACCTTCTTTCTCTGTCACACTCATTGAGCATATGGAAATTTAGAACGCGAATATCTGCGTAATCGTTTGAAATAACCCTATCAAACCCGGTATCGATGAATTCGTTATGACAATTCCTAAACGATTATGGAATACAATACAGGGTGTCCCATTTAAAAATCAAAAGCTGGGGTCGTTTCCAGTAAAAACGGAAGTGATAAAACAAAAATTGTTTCGTCAATTAATGAGGAATTTGGTATAGTAGCTGCATATATATTTTCAAAACCCTATCTCGAATAATTCAAAAGTTACAGTCCTGGCCGTTTTTTGTGCACTTCTCTGTATATGTATAAGAAGTGTGGAGAACTATTTCTGAATAAAATTATCATTGATTAAAATTATACATATCGTGATTTATCTTCTAGAATCGAATTCGAACAACTTGCTGTTAACGATTGGATTGAAGTTCGCTTTGTCAGACATATCTAGCCGCAGATAAATGAGAAAGTTCATTCATAAATTCCATTGACTTGTTGAGCAAGCAATCGTTATCGTATCGTAGTATTTCTGCGTTTTAAATTTTAATCATTAGCTGTGACAGCAAGTTGTTTTGTAATAATTCCGGAAATATAGGATTCCAAGAATGAATGTACGTCATGATCAGGCGAGACATTTTGGAATACAGGGTGGCTGGGTGGCAAGGATATATTTTTCTAGTAAATTCGTGATTTCGATATTTCGAAAAATTTTTCGAAAACTTTCATGCTACAGTGTGTTATAATTTGGTCCACCCTAGAGTGTCTCGAACATCTCATTTTACGCTCTTCAAAGTGTGGACACACTTGTCATCTTGTTGATCAGCTGAACAAAAAATCATGAGACACAAATATGTTTTATAAGTGATGGAATGACATTTTTTTGTACCCCTTCATTAAACCATTGTCGAACTAAATGAAAACCTAGTAGGCGACCTGGATTCGACATGTGATGAAAAAATATAGGAATATTGAAAATCAATCTTTATTTGGGTAGTTTTGAAACAATATAAACACTCGATAACGAAAAATGGGATGAAATAAATAACTCAGTCAATAAGGAAAAAGTGAAAATAAAACGAAATAAATACTTCTGACAGAATTAACAGAATTAGAAGGAAAGTTTGATATGTAAATTGTGAAAAAAAGCTTAGGCACTTCAATTGTCTTTTTCAGATGCAAATTCGTTGGTTTACTCATATTCTTGATAACATCATCATTATAAACAACATTATTATGGATGGAATCGAAGAACGTACTAGAGTATGGAGTTCTTATCTGTTGTCATATCTGCGTACTAAGCAAGGTGTAATAGTAATAGATTCAGTACAATTGTAATAGCATCCCCAACGCTGAGTGCGACGAGGTTTTACAATATTGTCTGTTCAGTCAATCGAATTCTGTCTGTCTGTCACGTGGCATTGGGGAAGGGAATGTGGCAAGAGCTCATTTGTTCCTGTCAAAAAAGACAATATCAGATTGACATTCTCTTCTATTTTTCTCTAGTCCTCCCCACCCTTGTTCTTTCGTATTCCTGGAGCGATTTAAATTTTTTTTCTTACAGAAACTCCAGCAGAATTGAAGAAAACGGATCAGGCATTTTTTTCATAAATTTCAATAATGACATTCGATTCGTACTAGATTCGGACTAGTCACAAATACTCCTATAGATATTATCAATTTTCACAACAATATCTCATGAGGGGTGTTTTTTTATCAACGCTCATTTTAAGAAGAGAAGTTCATATAAACAAATGCCCTAAACCTCTTAAATTTTGAGCTGTAGGGTGTTAATATTTTTTTTCAATCTCAACTCTAACGGCAGCGATTGTCAACTATTTTTTTTTTTTCAAATGGCATCGTATTTTTTTCGATATTTTTTTTTCTTAATACAATAATGTATAACGAGTTGACTCGCGCAAAACGAGGCGCAAAATTAGTTGAAAATAATGTATGGACCGTCGACGAGAAATGGACCTTTTCATAAATAATTATTGTTCAATAGAGTCATCGACTGAAGGTTGTGTTCTTTCCTTATTTAAAAAAATACATTATAATGTTGAGAAAATGATTCATTGAATGATTCATTGAAGACAAATAACTACCTTAGGAAACTATTCAAACTAGAAGAAGTAATGAATGATCCATTTCTTGACGACAGAGCATTTACATTTTTTTCAACTAATTTTGCGCGAAAGTTAACTGTTTATAGATCATTGAATTCAGAAAAAAAAATTCTTTCAGAAAAAAAAATCTAAAATAATACAATGACATTTGAACAACAAAATTTGGCAATCGCTGTCGTTAGAGTTGAAATGGGAAAAAGAAATTGTTAGAGCCACCTTGTAGTATCTGATGAGTCATTTCATTTGCATTTTCGTTTTTTTAAATCGAATAACAAATACCGGCGCTGGCTTGGGGCGTTTTTTTGTCATTCAGCCTGTACATTGGTCAGACAGGTAGAACGTTTAGCTACCGCATTCACGAACATCGTATGCATGGGTTTTTTGAAAAAGAAAGCGAATTCAACATGAGCTATTGATTTCATTTCCCTACTCTCGAGTCACTATCTAGTAGTTGATCAATATAAGATATATGGCCTAATTGTTAGGGTAATTGGTTTTTTCAATCTCTGTTCGTTCATGATTTATGTCCTACTGTTCTAGAGACACCCTGTATTCGGATCATTAAAACTTATTTCATATTTTTTCAGATGTCCAAACTTTTGTCTGGAAGTCTGATATAGTCTGGTAAAAATAATGTTTCATAGTCATAGAGTTTGAATTTCCTCTGAACTGTAATTATTCAATTATAACTATGATTCTCTTCCTTTTATCCTGTTGCCAAATGCCTGTCACATAGACCTGGGAAATCCGTCCATGTTGCCAAGATAAGACGCGCAAAAAATGCAATATATATACCGCGTGTTCATTGAAATATTTCATCTGTGGAATTAGTGGTGCTGCCTTACACGAATAAGAACAATTTCTCCATTGAAGATGATACATTTGTTCAATTCTAAATCATTGAACTGAAAAAACACCTTCTTGTCCTAAAATGATTTATTCGATGCGAAGTTTTCGAATATCTCTATAATGTAGAAAATAATTTATTCGGAATATTCATTTGGTTTCATCATATACTCTCTATCCAAGAAATTCAACAATATTTAGTTGACAAAACTACAATCCTCAGAAGACATAACTCGAAATTTCTTCATTGTATTTCGACAAATCGTTTTGTATATTTTCTGTTCGAAACGTTGAGCAAAAAATTCTTAAATAGGGCAATTGATTAGCCTAAAATTAGCCATTCAATCTCAATATAATAAAATGAGCACTACATTCTCGCTATATCAGATCATCAAAAGATATTGTTTTTCAAAAATGGCTTTGCTGAGTTCGGCCGAAGCTAGCAAAAGCCACAGATTTGTCTATGATAGAGAGGAGCAAAAAATTCGGGAATGGGGTTATAAATTAGCCTAAAATGAGCAAATATACCTGTCAAAGCTTGACGTATCCCAAAAATGAATAATAAAAATAATGCTCTTTGAAAAAAAGCGCTATCCATTTCGATTAGTACCTACATGAAGAAAGTAGATTACTCACTCCAAACCAACTGTACCTTGAAGCAGTTGCAAGATTTATGCTGAAAATGGCGTACTATAAAAATAATATCAACGAATATTCTTTTGAGAAACCCCAAACATGTTGCTTGCCAAAAACAAATAGGTATATTGTTAATGAAGATCTTGCAGAAATTACAGCCGGAAGAACCAACAATCTAGTTGAATTCAACGCCACCAAAACTCAAGCCTGTACTTTCTCTAGAAAGGCGGAAATCAGTATACCTGATAGAACCAATGTCTGGTACTACCATTCCCACCAAATCAACTATATCTATGCTCACTACTTATAATACTCATAGTGATCTCCACGACCACGACATTTCAATATGATCCAACAGATCAAATTGGCTTTGCTGAGTTCGGCCGAAGCTAACAAAGCCACAGATTTTTCTTTGATAGAGAGGAGCCCAAAATTATGCT